GGCATACTTTCTCTAAATAACATGCTTTTCTTTCAAGAGATTTGTATTTCTGACCCCCAAAATATAGGGGTACCCGTAAACTGGAAAATATGGTTCCAATAGTTAGGTCAGAAAACCGGTCCAAACTTTGAATCTCTTAATGGTAATTTTACTTTATATTTATTTCACCCTAGCTCCTGTAAATTTTGAGTGAATTAAAAATTGCTCACAATTATGAAATTCGTTTATCCAAAGATAATTCCATGAAAAATATAGCTTTTTATAAATATTTATTATTTTATTTAATAATAGTCGAAAACAATTCTGAATTGTAAAGTTAAAAAAATTACATAATTTTAAAGAATGTAATTTTAAATGGCAAAATACAAAATTTGAGTAAAATCGGCCGAATAGTTCCTGAGAAATCAAATTTTGAAAAATTCTTTTTCTTAAATTAAATTGCTCAGGAACTATTCGATCAATTTTGCTCAAATTTTGTATTTTGCCATTTAAAATTACATTCGTCAAAATTATGCAAAAAATTTTATACCTTAAAAATTGAAAGTTTTCATTATTAAATAAATTAAATGTGTATTATTAAGTGAAATAATAAAACAAAATAAATATTTACTTAAAAGTAATATTTTGAATGAATAATCTTTAGATTAACGAATTTTATAATTGTGTGCAAAAATTTTCCATTCGCTGAAAAAGTTTTCGAGTTATGGTGTTACATTAAAAAGTTATGGTTATACTCAAAAAGTAAAATTAACATTGTGAGGCCCAAACTTTGGGCAGCTCTCATCTACGGTGTAGGGGGTTAGAAATTTAAATCCGGGGAGAAAAAAAATATGTTTATTCAGTAAAAGCGTCTAATTTCGCGACTTAAAACATCGACTGCAGCCGTTTACGAACGCATAACAGGACTCCTTCTCGAACCATTAAGATTGAGTTTTAGAACGTAAGGATCCGATCATTAGATCAAAAAAATTTTAGAAAGGTTTGTTTTTTTTTCTTTTACCCACTGCACATTACGTCACATTAAAATTAGTGACAGTTACAAAAACATGGAACTTTACAGTCATTCAAAAAAATACCTGAGCACTGTGATCCTTTAAAAAAAACCTTCAGAAATGCAGTACAAACTGTTCAACAGTTTGTTTCTGAAACTTCCATCATTGGAAAATTCTCACAAAACCTGAATGACCCATGCACATGCAGGTGCCTATTGTATCTGCTGCAGTGCCCAAGGGATTTCTTTTTTAATCCCATGTCTAAACATGAAGAGTGAAAAAATATTTTTCCAATGAGGTTTATGGAATGAAGAGCTTTCCGCTTGTGATCCATTATTTAAAAATTAATTAAAATTATAATTGTAATCCACACAGTCAACATGTAGCTTGTCAATTTTCAAGCGTTCAATAGTTTTTTTATTGAAAAAAATGTTTATGTCCTTTAAAAATCATCAATCCTTTATTGAAAAATTCATTAAAGTGACAAGTTATAAGAGTCAATTTTGTCAATTTTCAAGTGTTTAGTAATATTTTTTATCGAAAGACTCGTTTTGTCATTTATCAAATATGGATACACAAACATTAAAAAAATTGTGGAATATTCCCTAAACATCAAGTGTATGACGACAGGATGATGTAATATCCTGCTCAAGCAGTATATAAAGAGCTGCGATTGAGAGCAAGGGCTTCCAGTCTTTTGAGAAGTATTACAAGCTTGTCTGAACACTTGGATTTTGAAATCTCTTCCACCACTGATGAAAAATGAGAATTGACTGACATGGACGCTGCTGCACCTCCGTCTCCATCACCTAAAATTCCTTATCAAAATGCCATGTATGAACTTCTGTTGGAACCTATTTCTCCTCTGCCTCCTTTGTCAAAATCCATGGAACAATTGTTTGAACCCACCTTTTCTTCATCTCTTTCCAAATCTACAGTACCAGTGAAACCCAAGCCCAGCTCTTTAGTCATGGTGGTTCCATGGTTTCAACCCAAGACTATCGGAGCCAATTAAAACGAAAATTGAACATTGCACGAGATACCCCCGACAAACGCTTCGTGAGAGAAGAATCCAAAGATGAACCCAAACGTCTAAGGGAATCCAGAAAACGTCCAGACGAATACCATCCAAGGAATTTCAGTCAACCTACAAGTCCTTCAAAGGATTCCAGTAAACCTATAAACACTACTCCTCCAAAGGAATCCAACAAACCTACACGTACACCAAAGGAACCTAGCTAAGCACCAATCCATTCCAGGAAAAATTCCAAGCTCGACTGATCATGACAAATGCCACTCCGGCAAACCTTTGAGTGAACAATCCAACAAAGTTCAAAGTGATGTGACAACATACATGCCAAGCAAGAGAGACTCTCGACCATACATTTCAAGGCCGAAAATGAAATTTTTCATCGACCCACAACCATTCGTTTGCTGTCGTACGTCTCAGATCCGATGGATACATCATCAACGATGACTACATTTATCATTCAATGGACGGAATTTTCGACAGCAAGTGTAACTAGAACAATTATTCTAGATAGAGGTGGCCTTTATGCTTATGACCTATGCCATCACCAAAAGAAACTGGTAGGACAACACAGCCACTTTGCCGAAATATCATCCGAGGAAATCAAAACTGTCATTTTGAACAAAAATGTAAAATTCTTCGGACTTGGTGCGTATTGTTCACGTGAGGACTGTCATAGATGAACTGCTGTTACAGGGAGCATCTTTTTAAAAAATAAAATAAGAATAAAAAAAAAATAATAAAATACTAAATAATAAACGAAAAATAATAAACGAAAAAAATAATGAAAACATTAAAAAACTATTAATGCGTCGTAATATTTCTTAACAGTTTGCTAAAAAAGAAAAAAAAAGAAATTGTAGATATAGTTCTAAAAAATAATAGATTTTAAGGGAAAATTAAGTGTTATTAACTGTGCATTAGCTGCTAGTATAAAGAAAGCATCATATAGCATAATAAGACAAAGAAAATAAGAACAAAACACAGAAAACAGGAATTCAAAAGGAAACATTAATTAAAGGGATTTTAAATTTAAAAATATAGATAAAGGCACGTTTTTTTTGCGTACGAAATAGTTTCCAAATTATCGCTGAAAGTATTTGGAAACTACTACTTGACAGTTTCAACTGATATGGTTCTCGCAGTAGCAGTTGTTTCGGTTGGCTGGGGTGCCTGAGGTCGAAGTGGCCTTTTACTCCTTCATCATGTGGTGAGGATCGTTGAGGTGAAAATCCTTCTGGTCCTTGTATCTTAGAAATAAAAGAAGGATTATTAAACGGGTACATTACCGGAATGAACTTCATCAAACATAATGAGGATTAAACATTCATAAAAATAATTACATAAATATAAAAACGAATACATAAATAATAATAATAATAATAACAATAATATAAAAACACATAATATATAAGCATAAATACATAAATATATGGACATATAAATAATAAAAAATCATACTTTCTGTACAAAGTTCGTCAGTACAATAAAACAACACAAACATGTTTCAACTGCACATCACATCATCATGACTCACATAACGCTTATTTATCAGTCAAAAGCTTAGTCTATTTCTTAGTGCCATTCAAATCAAATTTATTTTAGTCAATGCTTTAAATATATTTATAATTCCACTTTATCATACATTCATATCGAACATCGTCATATGTATTGCCGTATAAATATAAATTATCACTTTAAACGCTCCATTAAGTGGTCATTGGTAAATGGTCCTCTTTAGTTTCAAGCTCAATTTTTCATTCCACATAGTTGTTTGGAGTTTAAGAGTTGCAGCAGTCACTTTATTCTAATGTTTTTTACATGATCCGACCATGTCAGTCAGTTGTTAATGACTAGACCAAGGTATGTAGCTTTTGTGACTCTTGTTATCACTTTATCGAATAGAACTAATTCATTATGCTCCTATTTGTTTCCTGTTCTTTTGTGTTACCAATAGTTCTCCACCAAAGTTGAAAGTTTTAACTTCAGTTGCTTGTTAAAAACAGGTTGATAGCAACCGGGCAACCAGTATTGACTTTCGAAACGGGCTAGGTCACATAGAGCAAAACTCTTTATCTATGCCAACACTTTGCATGCTTTTACCATTAGCGTGTGGACAGTCATAGAAGAAGGAAGGAAGTTAGTTTCTGTCTTGACTTTCATATAGTTTAAATCCTTTTAAGTTAGGAAGCTGTATGGAACTGAAAACTACATTGAACATAGGTCTAAAAAAAAACGTCGTGGAAATTTTAAAATTGTTTCTGATTATTAAATACGGAAAATATTAAAGGGGAAAATATCGTAGTAGATTCCTATACAATTGAGAAGAAGAGGATAGGAAGAGAGTGAGGGTTAAGACATGGAACCGATCCTCTCTCTAGATGGCGTATTCGAGCGTTGCGACGCTCCTCAACTTCCACGGAAGCCACTTCCTCGGCCACCGACAACACCGGCTTTTTATTCTTAATTTAGATATTAGAAGATGGCAAATTCTCTTTGAAGACACGTTTGATTAATGTTTGTCTTAGAAGGAAAACTCAATATTTGTCTGTTTCGTAGATCGTACAAAATTTGTTATGTTTAGTTAGTTACTGTAATAATTTTATGTTTAGAATTATTTTGTGTAAATAAGTTACTATTTTGAAAAATGGGTATGTGTTATTTAGTTTGAATTTAAAGTTTAGATCAGTTTAGAACATTTTTGTAACTGTTTCGTTTTCGTGAAATACTTATCTAAATTATTTTCATATGATTCTGCCTTTATTAACGAGGAGATGCGATTTTTTAGAAAATTTTTTTTAATATGTTGTATTAAAAATTTTGTACCGTTCGCTAACTTAAGTCTTAAAATCGAAAGAATCTCTTGTCAAAATCATGTTCAGTATATTTGAGTGATATTTTTTAGCTTTCAAATGTATTATTAGTATAAAGAGATTCTATGTTTTTTGTGCGTAATAGTTATTTTTTTTTATTAAGGGTTCCCGCCTAAAATTATGCTATTTGGTACTTATATTCTTACTGTTTCGTTTTTCTTTGAAATTTACAACTATTCTTGTCTGTTACTGATTCTCATTGACTACTATAACTAATAAGGTGACCAACTACTGAATTATATATGTAATATCTAGTTATATTACAGATACAATGTAGAATAATATATTCTCTTAATTTTAACTATGCATCTCAAAGTAAAATAAATCTTCTGTCAGAACACAATGTTCTAGCAAAGTAAATTATGTATGTAACTGAAAATGGTGCTAGTTATAGGTCACAGCTCTATACTTCTTTCGCAATATAGCTATACTTATTTATTATTTTGTCACTGTTAATTTAAAATGAACTTACAAATTTATTGAAATAAATATAACTGAAAATGGCTTAAGTTCTAGATTACTAATCTAAGTCTTACCCAGGTTCTACTTATTCTCTTTGCTGAGAAATTGTGAATAAAATAAATTTTAGTTCTGTTAGGAATATATTTGAGTTTCCTTGTTGTAAAATCTGCTGATAATTAGATGAAATATTAAAAAATGTAGCAATAGTATCACAGAGCATACAAACTGAGCATACAAGTACAGTATACTCTCGATATCTAAAAAACCTTGTTATATCAAAAAAATATTTTTCTCCTTAGCTTTATCTGTCTACCTAATGTATATTTAAATTCCTAAGTCGATAAGGTACTTTTCCAAACCTTGTTCTGGCGAATTTTTTTCGAAATAGAAAATTTCTTCAGAAAGATCACAATGTAAGATTATTGTGAGACAGTTCTTTAATGTTTAATGCATAATTATTTTTAACTTTTAAAAATAAAATTATCATTATTCTATTTAGATTTATAGTGAACTATCATTGACTGCATATTTATTAGTAGTTATTCTTATGTTTCTTGACTCTACTTTTAAGAATAATATTTTGGAATATATTTTGCTTCTTCTTAGAACATATTTAGTTCTAAACTTGTCATCTCGAAAGCTCGGTATCTCGAAATTTTTATAACGTCTCTTCAACTTTGAGCTGTTGAGAATATATTGTATTTAAATATGTTAATAAAAATTAAAAATATTCCTATTAAAGTTTAAAAGATTGTTTTTTCTTCGAAATTTGAATTGACTCATCCCCGTGGCGGCATTGTCGCAGAATGTTAGAAATCTTGCAGAAAGAAATATGGAAGTAAAAAATTTTGATTTTTCTTTTCTGAAAATTTCAAAAGAATTATTTTTTTTTTCCTCAAAAATTAAATTCAAAAGATGACTTTCTCGCACATCAGAGAAGGATGAAATGTGTGGGAGTTTTCTATTCTCTGTTGAAAATTATGAAAAAATTTTTAATAGTGAATTTAAAAAATCTGGTTTTCTTTGCTGCAGAAATTTTTGAAGTTTTTTTTTTTTCTATCCAGAATAATATTCAAAAAATGCTTTCTTTGCTTGTTGGAGGGGATTGGAATGCTAGGGTATTCTCTATTCTCATTTGAGAATTAAAAAGATTGATGAGGTCTGGCTTCAGCTAGAATTTCAAATTGAAAATAAAATAAAAATCCGAAAATGGGAAAGTTTAAAAGATAGTTCAATCTGGGAATTATATACTTTCTTTCATTTTTTTCAAACACCAAATTTGACTATGAGTGAGAATTTTGTTACAAATTCTGACTTGTAAAATAATTAATTAATCAATGTGGTACATTTATCTTTTTTTAAAATTTGATTGAAATAAAATCTAAACAATATTTTCAATATATTATGCACATGAAAGTTTCAAATTACGCATTAGTCTTCATTTTAACCCTCACAACTCTCCTTGACTCAACCATAAATCTATGTAATGTTTAGATAATTTTTTTCCCTCAATTATCATTACGAGTTTTCATTTTGTACTTTCGAATAGTCTCTCGTACTTTAAAGGAAGGGAGACTTATGCAGTCTGCTCCAAATGTGAAGCCCCAGAAGCAGAAAGTGCCTAAAATTGTGACGTACGTCGCAGAACAATTTGTATCTTGAATATTTCTGTAACCATTTTTATCCAGAGAGCTTCAAAGCAAGCCGTAAAAGAATTAAATTCAGAGATAAAAATAATAAATATTAAAGTTAATAATAATAAAGTTTATGACTTTTTATATTTTCTATTCCCATTTCAGAAGCAATTTGTGAATCGTGGGGATCCGCGATTCACAGAATTGTTTCTAAAATACCAAATGCTTTTGATGGAGATGAAAGTTGTTGGAACAACAGACCAGCGAATGTTAGTGTTTGCAAATGGTGCACCATCTGGGCACTTGTCCCTTCGAAAGATTTTTAAGGCAGCCCTTGTTTTAATGTTCGGACCTTTGTATCATAGACATTTTATTAATAATTCATCATCATCGTCATTAACAAAATTTTTTACTTCAAAAGTGATTGAAAAATTAACAAATCAAGAATGTTTGCCTTGGTTTTTTAAAATAACGAAGTGCATCTGTGCATGATCCTATATTTAAATAAATGAAAATTTAGTATTTTAACGTAAAGTTGACTTTTTTTCGCTGTGAAATGCTTGCAGAACATTTGTATAAATTAATAAGTACTGTTTCAGAACATTTGAAAATATTCTGCTTCTGGGTGTGAAGCCCAGCAGGCCTCAGCCGAACATATCCTCGACTGCTTGGGCCTTTCCATGGAGGACTTATATGCTTCTCCACTTCTTGTAATCGACTTTTTGAGGGTCAACAACCTACTAGATCTTGTCTGACTTCGTCAGACAATTAGAGGATAGGATACAACAACAATTTTTAAGGATAGGATACAACAACAATGTTTTATTCTTGTTATAAAAACGAAAAGAATACAATATAAATGAGATATATGGTGTTCTGTAAAACAGTCTTTAATGCGTATTTTTAGAATCCTTAAAAAAGTTAAAAGAACCACACTAAAGATCAGAAACTAATGTTTTAAACAGGTAGGTAAAAAATAAATTTGTACTGAAATCTAACAGGTCAGAGTACAGGGTGGCGAATGTAATAAACAAGACAGGCTTGATTACGAGAAAGAGTAGAAAGATGATTTATAAAGGAGCACATTCAAACTCCGATTAAACTTGTTGCGATGTTTATTATATACGCCTTCCTCTACTGTAGTAATTTGCTAGATTTCGATAGTGCTGTTGTTTTTAGCTTGCAGAAATATTTATTTATGCTCGACAATGTGCGTACATTTTTGTTTTCAGATGAAAATTTTAAAAATGTATAATCAGGGCTGTCTTTTTTGGAACGCCTTGTGTAAGTCACCATTATAACTGGTTTTAAACTATGTTGAAATGAAATATATGCATTGCATTTTTCTTTCTTAAAATGTAAACAAGTTTGACATTTTACATGTATTGGAAATATTTAAAGAATAATTAAAAATTAATTTTAGGTGGACTTTTAAGTTACTTCAAAAGCCTTTTGGGTAGTAGAGAGATGCGTATTTTGATACTTGGTTTGGATGGTGCTGGAANCAAAAAATTTTTTTTTATTGTGAACGCAACGTTTCTGTTACTTCAAATTCAATTAGTAACATGCATACTTGTTATTATTAAAAGCATCTTGCAGAAAGATATTAGTGCTAGAGAGGTTTGTCGCAGAAATCCCAAGAAAATTCTGCCACAGGGAGTTTAATATCGCCCACAACGACAGCTTCTGTCAAAACACAGTTTTCTAAACTGAATTCGTCATGTTCAAAATTAAGGAGCAGTGTGTAAACAAAATCAGTACATTTTCATTTTATGGCCTGAAAAAGCTATCACATGATCAATTAGGTAAAATTATCACTGTATTTAGAAATTTTGCAAATCGTAGTATAACCATTAGGAAATTTTTTGAACCATTTTGTACCTACATGGGCCATTTCATATAATTTATGATCATATGCTGGGAAATGATTTGTTTATCGTTAAATTTTAACTGTAAAGATATGTATCAAAAAGTAATGTTATTTTGCTTTTTATAATAGTTTCGAAAAATGTAATAATTTAAATTTTTGATAAATATGTATTCACATTTTATGTTTCAAATTCCTATAATTGAGATCTCTAACTTGTGGTTATCCAATTATGTGATTCTAGATTAGAGTGACGTATTAAATACTATTAAGATTTTAAAAACCATGTGGAAATCTGCCCAAAAGACAATGAAAATGAATGTGATTCAAAGCTCCTGTGTCATAAAAATATTACGTATCAAAACTTTGAATTCGAAAAACAATTAGTTTTGTTATGTAAGCAAATTTAGATAATTCCATTTGTAAATGTCATATTTGCAGACTTTGTAAACATATAATTCGATTAAAAAATAATTTATTGTAAATTTTGAGTAGTAAGTTTTATTATAATTTTTAACTTTAAAAACGTTAATAAAAGAAAAATTCAAGTCGGGCTAAATGACACCAAGAATTATTTTAAAAGCTATTGGAACTGCTTGATTTTTCTAAACTGACATTAAGTGCGAGCTTTATTGTTACTGCAAATAAGGCATTCCTAAATGTTAGAATTGCTCATCTTGTCTTGCTGATTTAATTACTATATGGTTACAAATTGAAATTGGTGACCCCACTCAAATAATCTACCGTCCTTCATCAATCAAAAGCCTGATCGTATTTTACCTAAAAAATAAGAGTTAAAAAGGGGTGGTAATTTTGAGAGTAAATTATTTCTTTAAATGTTTGTAATGACTTCATGTCTTTGGTAACAGGTCTTGTGGTGTTATAGAAATGAATGATTTTATTTTACAAATGTTTTATACAAATTATCGCTTATGCCATCAAGTATATTAACACAATAATAACCACAGAGTACCAAGTGTCCACATCTGAATATTTGGCTGTCATTGGAAACTAGAGATATTGCAGATTTAGCGTTGGTAATGCAAATGTAGTTTTTTGTTATCTAAGGTACATAAGAAAAAATAGCAAGACTAAGATAATGGGAAATATTAATTTTTTTTTAGACTGTCAGATACTTTTTCTAATAAGTTCTTTTATCATTTTTTAAATATATTATCAGCTATTTAATTTTTGCCATTTTGTATTATTACTACATAGGCATCATTAATGTTTTTATTTATTCGTACATCAAATATGTTACTTTTAAATGTTAAAATTCATTAACTTTTATACTACTTGTCTTAAATAGTTAGAAATAAATTATTTTTGACAAAAATTTGTTCTTGTTACTTTGTCTTGCAATTATTGGTTTTAAATAACATTATTAAAAATCATGCACTTTTATCTAATAATGTAAAAAATATGGGTTTTTTTTTCAGGCGTAAGTTTGTCGGTAAAGAAATAGTTGCTGGGCAATAAATTGTTTTTTTCTAGAATTATTTTTACTATGTGTTCCACTTTTAGCAAAAACATACAAATCCTGTTTCACAATATGACAGAGGTTATTAGACTCTCTACGTGTTAGTTATCAAAGCTACTTTTTTCATTATTTTATTCATATATTAATGTCCTAATTAGTAATTTTGTATTATTTTTAGCTATTGGTTTTAATGTCGAACAAGTTACCTACAAAAACCTGAAATTTAGTGTCTGGGATCTTGGTGGCCAGACAAGCATTAGGTAAGTTTTCTGTAAATAGATTTACATACCTGCCAAGTCCCCTGTTTTTTAACGAAGAATCCTGTATTTTACGACTATCTCCCATTTACCCATAAATTATAAAATTTCTCTATTTTTTTAAGAAAGTTATACAAAAAAAAACACTAAAAAGATAAAATACCCACTTATAGAAGAAAAAAAATACTTTTCTTATTACTCTACAACAGATGGTACTATTGCCAGTACTGCAGTTCTTGCACTGCTGTTCCAACCAAACTATATGTAGTGAGAATGCTGTTGTGAGCCTTTTATTCAGTGAATAGTTTTTTTCTCTGGTAACAGACTTTATTATTTACCTACAGACATCCGGCAATAACTTTGTTGCATTATTAATGCATTATATTCTTACCAATCATCAAAGCATAAATGTATTTATGTTTTCAGAATCATTTATTGTGGGTGTCAATTGTGCTACTAGAAAATGAACTGTATTTAAAAAGCATTTCCGAAATATAGATGTTATGTTAGGTATCCTATACAATCAGCATAGCAATTCAAAATACGAGAGAATTTTTTACGAAGTTAAAAAAGTTTGCTCATCTGCTTGTCTTTGAAAAATAATATCTCTGGTAACTGTCAGAATTTTCATGAATTTCCTATGCAAAGCCAAATCAGCTACTTATGGTCGAAATATGAATACATAAAAATTCTGTAAAATAAAGCTAATTATTTAGAATTATGGAAATTATTTTGATGTTTATAGTTTAAGTAATCATGAATAATGGTATAAAAGAATTCTTCTTTCGATTAAGATTTATATACATATTTTTTCCTTCGCTTAATGTAAGTGCTTATATAATTCCAATTTTGAATTTTTCTCTTTGACTTACATGATTATGCATAATGTATCAAAACTGTACATATAGCCCAAAAAATGTAGAGTATAAAAAAATAGTATAAAAAAAAAAAATTAATGTCAACAACTGGCGTTATGTTCCTTAATCCAACCGTTCTAAAGAAGAATAAAAATCGAACTTTTAGGAGTAGTTAAATTGAAAATGTATCTGTTAATAAAAAGAACAAAAAACATTTTTCAATAAGCACTATTAACTGAACCAATGCTACATAATAAGCACAAAAGTGTTTGCTTATTGCATAAAAATTATGTTCCTTATAACATTCGAAATTTTAACATTCGTTGTTTTTATTTTTTTATAAAGACACATATTAATTTGAATAATAATACATTAACGAGCAACTACAAAATTCTATAAATTCTAATTTATAAGCTTATAAGGGAAGGGGCAAGTGTCCCTCTCGATCATTATATACAGAGATGCCAATTTGCTATACATATACTGTTCATAACATAAACTATTCAATTTTAAACCAGACCAGATAAATGTTTTTACGATGTGGAGTTCCATTAAAGCAGAGATGCCAACTTGCTCTGGACAGCGAATATTGAGTGGTAATTTATTAATTGTGATTCTTTGTTTAATAAATTCAATTTATTAGATTGTTATCTACCACTGTTTCTAAATAATTCGTATGCTTATATATTCACTACTTTATCATAGTAAATCATATTAAACCTGTTAAAAAGTAAGTAAAATTAGTCAAATATTTGCAAATTTTAGTTTGTAGTTATTTACCGTTTTTAAAATTATTTTGGCGTGTCCGGAGCAGTTGGAATCTCTGTTAAAGTTGTAAAATCTTAGACTTAGAGGTTGGGCAGCTCCGAAGAGTAGGGCACATAGACCACAGGTCTATTGTACCCAAACCCTAAATCATGATTAGCATGAAAGCCCTGTAGCTGAAATAAAATTCAGCAAACACCTTACAGGAACATCTTAGTCAATGTAAAGTTTAAATAATGAATTTAGTTTTACAGAATCTGAACTTGTAACAGTCCCAAAAAGTTCCCTTAAGTCTGCCATTATATCATCTATATATATTTTATATGTCAAGCTGAGTTTGTCCCTAGTGCTGTAAGCCGTAACTACGCCTTTGCTTGTCTTAGCAAAGTTTTGTACTTAAATTTAGATGTGTATGGCAACCCTTTAGCCTCATTTGTACTATACTAAGTATAAACGCATGCTTCATCTCAAAATTGGTTTTCTGGAGAAAAAAACGGGTGAAAAATAACTACAGAATATTCTGACAAAAAAATGTTTCCTCCAAATACACACTTTAAGGTTTTATATGGTTACNAATCTGAACTTGTAACAGTCCCAAAAAGTTCCCTTAAGTCTGCCATTATATCATCTATATATATTTTATATGTCAAGCTGAGTTTGTCCCTAGTGCTGTAAGCCGTAACTACGCCTTTGCTTGTCTTAGCAAAGTTTTGTACTTAAATTTAGATGTGTATGGCAACCCTTTAGCCTCATTTGTACTATACTAAGTATAAACGCATGCTTCATCTCAAAATTGGTTTTTGAATACAGCCTAAGTTGCTTTTCTGGAGAAAAAAACGGGTGAAAAGTAACTACAGAATATTCTGACAAAAAAATGTTTCCTCCAAATACACACTTTAAGGTTTTTAAAGCACAATTATTCTTTTGAAATGTTATAAAAGGAGTTGAGTTGCTTAAAAAATTAAAATTGAGTGTATCTCAAAAAAGTTTATAAAAATTTTTTTTTATTTAATTTTAAATTCATTATATGAATTACTTTAAATACAGCATGGTTAAGCAAATTTTATTAGGTTGCTGAGGTTAAATACATTATTCTAATTTAACTTAATAGAATATTTAGATGGTTTTATCACTATTTCACTTAATTTTATGAAGAAAAAGTAAAATATGCGATGGGAGTAGGTGAATTATTGTAATGAAGAAGCAATGGTGTCAGGTGTAAAAATAATTATTAATTAACAGAAAAATATTTTGAAAATCGAAATAGATTATACAAAGAATTATAGAATTTTTCTTTAAACAGAGAAATACTTTTATTACATTAAATCTTAGTGGCACTTAGCAATTAATTATGCATTTTGGTGTTTGACCCATTGTATCAAAATTATAATTTTAGGAATTTTTTTGTAAATCAAAATGTGAAATGTTTCTACACATTTGTACAAGGTAACATCTTGATACAATTGAATTTAATTATTATTTTTTCCATTTTCTACTATTGGTGTTAATTTTTAAAAAATCACTGGTTAGAGATTCACTTATCTCGAAAATTTGCTTTGTAGTTATGAATTATTTTCCTGGAACCTGGTAAACACCCTGATAAAATTACAAAAAAGTTTAGTATTGTCAAAAAATAAAATGTGCATTGAGGAAGTTTAGTTTTTCATTTAGAAAAATAAGCTTCAAATCTTGTGAAAATATTTTTCATAAATATTGCCCATTTTTGTTTATAAAATAAGTTTAATAAAACTTTGAAATCATGGATTTGCTACAAACTTGAAATGTATTAATGAGTTCATTACAATTTTATATTTATATAAAAGAATTTTTACTACTTTTATGTTTTGAATAAAGTCTTTTATCTTTCAGACCATATTGGAGATGTTATTATTCCAATACCGATGCTATAATTTATGTGGTTGACAGTGCAGATAAGGACAGAATTGGAGTTTCTAAACATGAGTTAGTTTCTATGTTGGAAGTAAGTTGAGGCATTGAGTTGAAACTGGCAAACATTTATGACCCTTGGACATGCTTTAGTATATTAATAAATTTTAAAAAATCTAACTTGTCAGACAGTTACTGTATTGTGTAAAAAATAGTATTAACTTAAATTGTCCTTATTTTTTATTTTACTAACTATGAAATGTAGACTTCAGTTTTCTATTCATTTGTCTGAAGTATGAATGGTTAATATTTCCCTTAATTCTTTTGTATAGATATTAAATTTAAAACATAATATAAGCTGATCAATTTTGTTTAACATATTCACCAGTGATGGATTAGGACCAGGGTTGGCAAGGTTTAGGACAGAATGGATTAATCCACGGTTTAAACCGTCCTGTCTTAAACTGTCCAAAACCCTTTTACTCAAATTATGTCACAATTTTATCTGAATCTATTTTAAGAATATTTAGAAGGTAAAATAAACATAGAACTAATAACATATTGATAATTAAATCTACTAGAGAATATTTGTTTTTAAAAATGTAATGTTTTATTAATATTGTTTGACTCTTCAATTTAAACATTAAACAAAGGAAGATTAATCAGTGATCAAGTTCAATTGGTCCTCTCATTCAATAGTACATAACTGAAGTTTGACCTTTGCCATACTAGGTTAAGCTATTAGGGACTAAGTGCTTGGTTACTCATAAACAGGTTTATTTATCTATAAGTACTATTCAAGAATACTTTTATTTCATTCATGTTCGATTCTTTTAGCATAGTGGTGATACATCACCAATGTCAGTAACGGAAACTGATGTTATGCCCTTCAAAACTGTTAATACATTTTTCAGTTATTTTGTATTTTCAATTTAAACTAATATATTTATATTTAAAAAACATTTTTTTTAAAAAATATATGTCTTTTTTATCATCCTGTAATGCAGAAATTATAACATTTTTTAAAAAAATATTATGAAAAATAAAAGGTTAATTTTTGAACAAATTTGGTATTTTTTTTTAAGAAAAATTATTATTTTTTTAATTTTGCCATATTTATCCTTATGCAAAAATATTATTTATCAGTATTAAAAGCATATGTATATTTGAAGGATTAGTTATTCACTTTTGTTGTTCAATGAATTGTGGAGCTTCAAAAATTATGAACCTTTCCCTATTATATTATACTATTTTCTTTTAATAAGTTATAGTAAATTGTATAAAAAATATCAAATATTTAATGATAATGTAATTATTATGTGTACAATGGTTACACCTATAGAATTTTTACCTTTTACCAGAGTTCAAGGTTTTGGACACTTTAAGACAGTTTTACCCAGTTTAAGACAGTAAAACCCACATGTCCTGTCCAAAACCAGTTTAGGACGTCCAAAACCCCAACCCTGATTAGGACAAATCATTCCACAGAGCTTATTTCAAATACTCGTTAATTTATAAATTTGTTAACTGTTTAGTTTTTTTAAAATGTATAAAACTTGAAATTTGTTTAAAAATTTATAGGAGGAAGAATTAAAGAAGGCAATTTTAGTAGTATTGGCCAATAAACAGGACATCGAAGGTGCTTTAACTGTTCCTGAAGTCCATCAAGCTTTAGGATTAGATGCATTGAAAAGTCGTACTTTCCAAATTTTCAAGACATCTGCTGTAAAGGGTGAAGGCTTAGACGAAGCAATGGAATGGTAAGGTTAAAATTTGGCTTTCTTTATTTCTTCAATAGGGACACCTTCAAAAATTTAGTTCTGTTTAACTGTTTCTACTGTAATATTTAATATAAATTAATAATACTAAGGTAGCCCTTATCATTTGGTTTGTGATCGATATATTGATGCAAGACTTATGTCTTTTGAAATGGAGACTAGAACTGGTTTAAAGTGGGACTGTACAATATAAATTTGCCCAGAATTCCCTACACTATTTTTACTTTTATGGTTAACGAACTGCCCGGTTGTTTTGATTAGTAGTAGTGGGTTTTCATATTAACTCGCATGCTCAAAATCTTCATCTATGTTTAATTTATCTATGTTAGTGTCATTAAATAATAGTTTTGTGTGTGTATATTGCTATAGTTTTAAGAAATTAGCAGCTGGCTGGTAACAAAATTGTTGCCTGGGTAAAACATTTGATAAATATCTGCCGTTTTAATGTTTCAAATTGACCTTAATAAAAGTAAAGTTTGAATTTATAAGGTTTACAATATTTTCTTCTATTGTTGGCATGTGATGAAAGTGGCATCAATAAACTGCATCAAAAGTGGATAGTGATAATAAAAAAAACATTGGGTGCAAATCAGTACCTTCAAATGTTATTTATTTCTAAAATCAATATGCATTAAATCACACAATTTATTTAACTATCACAATCTATAAATTGACCTGTGAATAAATATTCATCTCTTGAATTAATTATTTTTCGATCAGTTTTGGCTTATAAAAATGAATTGAATGCTTATAAAATGAATGTTGAAATTAGATTTTTCTAGATTTTGATTTCTTTTTCTTTCATTAACGACATTTTCCCTGGAGCATTTTTCCAGTTACAAGTTTGATTTATACCCAGAGTCGTGGCAAGCCATTGTATAACTACTTAGAAACTGGGAATGGGTTATTGGTTGCTAGAATTCAGAACAGATGGAAGGATGGACTTCAGTTCGTTTCTTATTTTTGATTACGAAATTTATTGGGATAAATGTGATATCTCTTATAAATTGATGTTTTTTATTATTTAATTTGCTTAATCTCCTGCTATCTTAGCTTGATAAATGAATTTAATTAAACTTACAATTGATTTCAATGACTATAATATCCTAGGATCAATCAAGGTTTTATTTTTAAGGCCCATTTTGATGAAAAATGGGATATATTTTTTTGAAAATTTTAGCAATCACTATTGTTTAAAAAAAAAATTGTGATTTTAATTGTTTTTAGACTGATTCCCCATTGCTTTTCTTATTAATATCTATGTATTTATTATTTTGTTACAATATGAGAATTTCAAATTTGAGTCGTCACTTTTTCCTAAACATTTGATTCGTGGCAATTCCATCATTGTGTTATGCTGTTTAATGATAGTTTATCAGCGGTTATTTTTTAGCTCCTATAACCTGGTTTTTCTAGTACCGATATTTTTAATAAGATGTTATTCTGACGTTTCGAATTTGTATTTTGAGTTATCACTTTTTGATGTGTTTGTCCATCGTAATTTCAATTTGTTTGAAGATAGTTTTTTCATCCTTTATTATTTTCAGCACTTTTTATGCAGTTTTTCAAATTCATGTTATTTTCTGATCATTTTTTTAAAATCTTTTTCGGCATTTTTTTTTCTCAAATTCTATTAACAAACTCAGGGCTTGCTCCAAGCATTTGCCACCTCATCAAATGTGATAAAATCGTAAATTTAGAGAGAAAATTTTGTTTTGTCAAATGATTTTTTCAATCAAAAAGAAAAATATTATTTCCAATATATATTCAATCATGGGGGAAAAAAGGTCAAAAGTAATTGTTTTGGCTAAATCCTGTAATTTTTTTTTTATTGCAGTAATTTATGTTAGATATGTCCCAGAACCAATTGGAACTGTATAATTTGAGATAGTGTAAGCATAAGCAACTAGAGAGATTATGTAAAGCATGAGACAAACTGCCATGAAATACAGTTTAATGTGTTCATTACCGGACCGCGCCATTCTGTGACGAAATTCTTTCCTATAGTTTGTGTCAATAAATCAGATTAAGTGGTAGCAAGATGCGTATTATCATCCAAACTGTTTTTGTAAAAAATATTTTTTCTTGTGACAGTAATATAATATTGCTTTAGGTTTATCCTTACACTACTGCTCTGGTCTAAGAAGCAATCAAAAATTAACCTCAACAAAAGGAATAACAAAATGCTTTTCTTACTTAAATGAAATGTTTTACAGCTATAAAATGTTAAAATTAAAGCTCTTTAATTTTAATGATTGCATATATCTTTCAGGTTATGTAATATGCTTACAAACAACAAATAAAAGTAGGAGGGAAAATAGACTGTGTGAAAACCTCTAGAATTCCTAAGCACTACTTTATACATTGTGCAGATGAACATTTCCAGTGGCCTGACAGCTATGGAACAACCACATTCATCCATGCCTTCCACTATTTTAACATTTCCATTCATGCATATTCTTGTATAAACCCCCAGGCCTTTCATGTAAATATCTAGTCATTCAAAATATCAGAAAATTCATGTACTGGCTTTTGTTCATTATCATTCTTTAATTTTATTAGCATTAGATGTTATTTAAGTATGAGTATAGAAAGCGCCAATATCATATTCATTTTAACAATTTTTTACTCTCATTGGTTTCTTTTCTTTTTTGGTCACAGACTAAATTTACTCCTTTTTTATTGTTTTCTGTCTAAAACCTTTATTAACAAATATTCTCTAAAATTAAGTTTTTACTATAAAAATACTTTTCTATAGTGCCTGAAAAGTAATTAAATGCAACCTTGTTATTGAGCATTTTTCAAAAAGTTTATTTGTGGCATATTTTAAATATAAATTTTGCATTTTATGGCAAGTGCTGTGAATTTGAAATGTTTCTAAATATAAGAAGACTGTTATAAAATTTATAATAATAAGTTTTAAAATTTTCACATATATTTTCTATTTTCAGTGAATTTTCTATTTTGAGGAAATTTATTCGCATATTTTAGTGTTTTATAATTTCAACTTATATAAATTTACTAACTCTCTTTAATTTACAATACTCATTTTTAACTGGTTGCATGTTAATTTTTTTGTTTTCAATAATAGTTTTTTTAATGAAAGCAATAAAAAATTTTTAGAATGACGATAACATACTAATAAAACCTAATAAATGTCTTCTTGTCATTCTAAACTTTAATCTAAAAGTCTAACATTTTTATTGAATACTTATTAAAATACTTTTTTAAACAGACTAGGATTTATTTCTCTATATATTTGCAATATTTAATAATGTGCCTTATCAGATAGATTTTTGTCCAAAAAAAAATTAGGGGCTTTAATTTATTTCTAATATAATTACCTTTTTTTAGTGCTTAATAGTATATTCTGTGTTTGACTAGATGTTAAAGCTTTCTTAATTATTCTTTTATTCTTCTGTTTTACTTTATTCTTACTCAAAACAGTCCTAAATGAGTCATCAATATATTTTTTGATTGTTCAAAGAAGTTTTAACATTTGTGTATATCTTTGACATACACAGTGTTTACATTTTATACACAATTAGGCTGCTTTTCTTTACAATTTTTCTTCAACAAATTTTTGTATTTAAATAATTGGATCAATAAAAGATGGTTTCTTGATATTCATTTTCTTTCTGTCTGTCATCTTTCATCTATGATAACCATAATTTTCTTAATAAAAGAGACTATTTATTTATTAAGGTTTATCAGAATTATTCCATATCACCACATTTTTCTCCCCAAGACAAGAGCATGTTTAGAAAAATGTTCTAAACCTTCTCAAATTAATGATTATTAAAAAATTAACAAAAAGTGTTGTAAAAGCCTAGTAATCTAAGCCTTGCTACTTCAAAATTCCAACTAAGAAATGAACAGAAGAATGATATTGTAGTAAAAATAAACGGAAGTTATAATATTCTTGCATAAAAATCTGCAGGATTAAACTTCAACTGCTCATCCTTGTTGCTAGGTTCATAGTGTCATCATTTTCTTATAGAAAAACTTTTTGTTTTTATTTTTCTTGTTTTTCAGCCTTTTGTCTTGATATTCCAGATTTTTGTGTATGTTCAGAACATTGAATTTTTTCAAATGCAAATGTTAGGTTGAGCAATTTAGATTTTCTAAAAGAAAGAAAAATTGAATCAATAATTTTACATTATCAAATTCTATGGCACAAGATTCCCACGAGTCTGAGAAGACTATGAATTTTCTAGTAGTTTAAAGTTATTGAAAAAAAATTCAGGGAAAATCTAGATTTTTCAGACAAATACCTGGAAAATTAAATTAAACCTGGGGAAAAAATGTAATCTTTTATCTCTACTTTTTGACGATTGAAAGCGATTTTTTTAGGTCTCCGTGCATACTTTTTGTGGCTAATTCTGTACCTTATTCAAATTGACTCAATTACTTCAACAACAGATTCATTAATTGAATCATCACGTTGAATGACAAATCTGTCATATCCTGGGGTTTTCTAAGAAGCACTTATGTGCCACCTCTGTGGTGTAAAATTTGGAATTAGTGGTTTCAAACTTCAATTGAGCTATAGGCAACAACTACTCAGAAATACTGAGAAGTTGAAGTCCCTTTAGTATCATTTGTTTAATTTGATTTTCGATCTTGTATATGTCTTTTGATCAGTACAATATTTATTAATCGAACATGGTGTTTCTCAGTTCCGAAAAACTAAACAATTTTTTAAGATAACGAGTTACAAGAAGGCCCTTTTTAATTTAGAGTGGAAGGGGGAAAAAAATCCCCTGGTCTTCTTAGATTGAAAATATTTCTAACGTAAATATTCCTACTCTGCTCGTTGGCAATTGTGTAAAAAGTTTTTAGTGCGAGTGATATGGACAGGCTAGTCATTAAAAGAGTGACAATCATATCAAATCGTTTAACTCTAGAAATCAAACCATCATCCCTCAATGTGCTGTTGGCTGAAAAAATAAGCATATTGGCGATAACACTAGAGGTTCTAATCAGTTAGTTCGATGCAGAACTAAGTCTCGGAGGAGCAAACTTTAACTTCAGAAATAAGGTAGACCACGACTGTAGCCGCGATTCATTCATTCTTCATGCAATGGCGAAGAGATTTTTAAAACCATGATCCTTGCTTTCTCAAAAAAATTAACGTTGGGAGCACAAAAATATCTTTTCTTGTGGCCTTTAGATTGGCTCCCTATTTCAAATCAATGCTGATGAAGGAAATAGCCAACTCCAAATTTGTTCTTTGTATGAATAAAGCATTAAATAGAATGCCGCAAGAAGGGTGATTGGACTTCGTAGTCGAGTGGCACAAGAAGATAGGTTTTTAAACTCTGTTGTTCTTGGACTTGCTACTGCCCAAGATATGTTTGAAAAGTTCTGTGAAGGATCATCTGAGTTAAATTGTAAAAAATTGTTACAGGTATGTTTGACGGGTCGAATCTTAACTTACAATTTTGGAAACATTTATGTCATGAACTTAGAGACACCAAAGGTTTTAATTTATTAAACTTATGTACTTGCAGTCTGCATATCATACATGGTGCTTTTCACAGAGGAATTAAATCTTTTAATTGAAAAAAGCAATCTGTTTCAAGCTATATATAGACTATTCTAGAACATGGGTGCAAGTCTTCCGTCCCCAGGACGGATTTCCGTCTTTCGAAAATGTCTGCGGACGGAAACAAGACTGACTCGAAGACGGAAATCGGAATTTTTTTTCTTTTCTGTCCTTAATATTTTTTAGGTCTACGTTATTGGTCTACTTTCTTATGTCAGGTTGTTATTTTATCAAAAGACATGAATAAATATTTTTTGTACAGTATTTAAACTTGATGTATTATGGTAAAGCTTTCTTAGATAGTTTGCATATGTTGATTGGGTATTGTATATGTTAGGTATTTCAGACAAAAAATTTTCAGTCTTGGCCTTTTTTCCAACTTGCACCCATTTTCTAGGATAGTCCTGCCTGTTGAGCTAATTATAAAGCCATAAAAGGCTATAAACTTTTTCCTTTAAAATCCAAGCAGCAACAATACAGTAATCTTATCACAGAATTTTAATTCCTATTGTAAATTCCTAATTTGAATATGTAAAAATATAAATACTTTATATTACTACAGGGTGGCCACACACCTTGAAAACCTGGAATAATCAGGGGTTTTTTTTATACTGGAAAAAACCTGGAAATTTGGATAGAAACCTGGAAAAATCAGGGAATTTTAAAGAGAAGCTGGAAATTTTTTCTTTAATTTTTTTTAATTTCACTAATTAAAATTATTTACTAATTTTCTTAAGTTAAATTATTTCATCCATTATATCCGCTTTTTTTAAACGTAAATGTATCTCCAAACAGTTGAAATATCATCAACTTAGCAATACTTTACTTTCATCAAAATTTGCTCCATTACAGCTCTGTTAAACTAGAATGCCACATAAAATTCTCCCACTGTTACTAAACGAATGTAGAAACCTTTGACCACTATGGGACTGCAATTTAGAAAAGATTCTGGTGGAGGTGGAAAAAGGGATTAGGATATTAGCTTCTGTTTTTAAATTCTGTCCTTGGGGCTGAATCCATTTATGGCTCAAGTTTGTTCCAATGCTTTAGTGGTAATTTTTTTTCTATTTTGACAAAATGTTTTTGTATTTTTAACTTTATAAAATTCTCCAAAAATTAGTTTTTTATAATTTACTAATAATAGATTTTATATTGCACTCTTTTTCTGCTCCCGTTCAAAGAAATCTATGAATTAATTTTTCTTAGCAAACCAACCAGTCACATTTTTTTACAATCGCTAACAGCAATGTTTGTCGACAAATCTTTACAATTGTTGCATTAATGATTTTTGATTCAAAATTTTGTACCAAAACATTAAAAACTAAATAAAAAATCTTGCCAAATTGTCAAAATAAATTATTTTTTTCAAGATGATGTGTTAAAAAAATAACATTTTGAATAAAACATTTTAGAATACCGACACTTTTCTTGTACACATCCTACACTTTATGAAAAAAAGAAACAAAAACCTGGAAATTTTAAGATTTTTAACTGGAAAAATCATGGAAATTTGATTTGAGTGGCCACCCTGTATCTAAAATTTTATTTTTCACTCAATATTAAATACAACTAAGTACATTGAAAGCTATAATGCAGTACAAAGTCCTATATTCAAGCATCCGTGTATAGAGAACTTATTATTTTTCAATCAATATTTTTTTTTACACTTGGGATCTGTTTAGGAGTAATTAGAAAGATGAAGAATAACTAATTTGGCTGAGAATATTTATGAATTTGAATATGAATGGTGTATGGCAAAAAAAACCAGCAGAAAAACTTTGTTTCCCTTTAAATTATAAACATTTTTAAAATCTGTTTTGTTTTATGTTATTACTTTTATTAGATTTGATTTATATATTTTTGGAATAGGCTTTTTTTAAAGTTATTTTTATATGCCCAGCTAAACATAGTAAAGAAATGTGTCTTTATTCATTAAAAATAAAATTATCTTCTGCTTACTTTTACGTTGTATAAATTTTTTATTGAATAATACATGTTATGTTTATTCAATAAAAAACCTTAATTTATTCAATAAAAAACCTTATTTTTCCGACTAATAGACCTTAAGGTCTATTAGTCGAAAAAATCTACTTTCCAAACTTGCCGAAGTCCCAACGATTCCCGATACACTATATTTACTTATAAAGAAACAAAAAATATGAAATTAAAAAAGTGTTGAGTTTCATTTTGTTCAAGAAATACTGAATGCTAACCACGTTGAATGAGATTTATTTAAAAAAAGAGAAATTTCTGATTTATTTTACTCTTCACATGTTGAAATGTGTAGCAATGTCAGTTTCTCAGAATAATCTGTATGACTGAGGGAGAAAGGATGTTGAAATTTTTCTAGAAAACTTACTTCTTTACAGTCTTAGGAAATGAACTCCCCCTTACATACATACAGACAGGTTCAATTCATTCAACCCTTTTATTTGTCAATTGTAATGGTGGTAGAGACAATCAGTATTATGACAAAGCACAATGAATATTTTTCAAAAATATCTACTAATATTGTGATAGAATTATGAATCATTTGTTTTCCAACCTGTCACAGTAAAAATAAATTTTCTGTTCACTTTCAAAATAAAAGCTTCCGAGGGTAAAGACATTAGAATTCGCTTTAAAAGATATTTCACATTAAGGAAGTTCACATTATAACTATTTATAAGCATTATATCTCCATTTAATTTGACTCGACATTGAAATTTTTTTACTCTAAAAGAAATTCATATTAATGAATTTATAATACAAGAAAGATATATCATATGAAAGAAATACATAATTTTTTTTTACTTTTCCTCTTTTCATTGTTTTACATTATTTATGACAGCACAAAGGTAACCTTCCTTTAAGAGTACTTTCTATGTATCAAAATTGAGCAAAATGTAATTGATTATAGTAATTTATCTGTAACCATACTTGCAATTATTGATCAATATTAATTCTTATGATATTTCTATATTGGTTGATATTCTGATAATATCTTAAGATTGGTTATAATTAAAATTTTAGTTAGTAAATATGATTGCTTGTCATCATCATCGTAGTTGGCCATACAGCCCAATGTGAGCCAATGTCTTCCTCTGAAAAATTTTCATGACGACTTCCGATTTATCTTTGATCTCCAATTCTTTTCATTAATTGCAATAAAATTGATCATTGATTGCTTGTATTCATAATTATAAGTGAGTAATTACCTGTAACTAGTAAAGTTTTGCCCAATTCTGATATTACAATTTGATTAATTATGTGTTTTATTTTTAATCTACTAATATGCATTTTAAATAGAGATATATTAAAAACTTTGTAAAACAGCTAAATCATTTTAAAATAATTGCAAATTTGAAATAATCCAATTGTTACTACAAAATTACATTGGTATTTAAGAAACTGAATACATGTTTCTCTTTTAAACTATATATACACATAAACATCTAAAAAAGAAATAAAAATTGGTTTTACTTCTCAAATTTTTAACAACAAACTTCAACACTTACAATACAAATTTTCTCCAAAATCATATAAAATGTAAAACAAATTATCTTAATGCTAAAGCTATTTTACTGCCTTGTACAAAATGCTTGACATGAATTCTATAGATGTGTTAAATTCATTCCATTTTCACACTTCTATTTGACGGGAAAGTTATGCTAGGTCTAGGAATTTGAGTAAACTTATAGTCATTCATTTCAATTCCTGGATAAAAATCTGAAGATTTTTTTAGCTTTTTGTAAACATAAATACAATGGAATCCCATTGCTATTAGTAAGATTCCTACAATAACTGAAAGTGCATAAACTGAATACATTAAAATTCTTTCTTTATCTGTTAAATCTTCGTAACCTACATCAATTCTGTTGTCGATTATATTAGATTCCAAAATTTTAAGTGATTCTGCATACCTATTGAGAATATTTTTTTCAATAGCATTAATAACATTAACTGAAGATGATTTTTCTCGTGGAATGCTTAGTGAAAGGCTGAAAGTGCAATTCAAATCCATTGAAGTTAAATTGTATCGAGTACGATAATGTCGAACTATTGAACTATATACCAACATGTCATCTATGCAATTTTTCACTACAACATGTTGAATAATTTCCTTTTTGGAATTATTTGAATTTCTTATATCAAAATGAGTTTCTACATCAGAGTTTTTGTAAAAACTAGTTGGTGTAGTATGTAAGGAATGCAACTTTGTATTATGTGATGTTTTAAAAGAAATTCCATCATGATTTATAAATTTTGCTCCATAATTTTCATTTCTGGGCATTCTAGTAACATTTTCATAGTTATCTGTTTTGTTCATATTTGTAACATTGTTGTCAGTTTCTCTCATATTTGTAGTATTGTTGTCAGTTTCTCTCATATTTGTAACATTGTTGTCAGTTTCTCTCGTATTTGTAACATTGTTGTCAGTTTCTCTCATATTTGTAACATTGTTGTCAGTTTCTCTCATATTTGTAACATTGTAATCAGTTTCAGTATTGATGCCTAAATATCCAGTATTTTCTAAGATACTCTCTGTACTAGTATACATGTCCTCTAATGATAATTTGGTTTTAACTTCATCTTTATCAGTCTTATTTTGAACAATAGGCATTGTTTGATTTGTAAAACTTGTTTTAAAATTTCTTCCTATTAGAATTTCATCTCTATAAGTTGATAATGTTTCTACACTGTTGGACGTTTTATTTGTCATATTGTTTTGATTTACTAGAAAGACACTAGTTTTTTTCAATAACGTTTCATAATCAGTTAATTTTCTACTCAAATTGCTGGAAACTGTGTGATTATTATCAATTTTCCTATTTTCTGGAAAGTGTGTTTCATAACTTTCTATCCAGAGATTTTTAAAATGTAATGTGACTGTGTCATTTTTATCTATATCATTATTTTCACCTGTAGTTGAAGCATTTATAGTTTTTTCTAATTTATTTATGATTTTGGATAGATTTTTTATATTTTCATCTTCTTCTATGGCAAGACTTGTATTAAATATAGCAGTATTGCTGGAGTGCCCAACACTAGATGATTTTTCATATGCTTCTAAATAATCTTTATACTTGATCGTGGCAGTAACTTCATCAACGTTGCCTTCATTTAAATTATCCATGTGATTTCTTTGAAGTGTGTCACTTTTCCTATCACTATAATTTTGACTCAAATTACTTTGTACATCTTCCTTTAAATTTCGCATACTTTTCAGAATGTCACCTGTTTGAGTGTCTATGCTTTTATTTTTGTTTGTTGCGTTTACATTCTGATATTCATCAGCTTCAGTTTTATTTTCTTTCTTCATTTCTGTTAAATGTTGGTAGTTACCTGCATCAGTGCTGTTTTCTTTATTAATTTCTGTTACAGTATTAAGTGAAATACTTATCAAATTCTTACTGATATTGAGGTAAACATCACTATTTTCTCTCTGAGTAATTTGTTTTGAAATATTTACCATTATGTTGTTCTGTAAAGTAGAATTAGACTTCAAATAAGCTGGGATAATGGTACTTGTGAAATCTTTTGATGTTTTATTTTCTATTATTTTTTTGATATCCTTTTGATTCGTATGAGAAACATTATTAAATTCTGTATCTTCAATATTATCATTAATCTTTTTTCCAGAATAATTCATATCAATGTTAATAGCTGCTGGATTTGGATTAATTTTCTTTTGTTGGATATTAATGGTGGAATCATTCATGTCTATGATGGGTTCTTTTAAATTCATATTTTTATTGACATTTATATCTGAATGAGTATGAACATCACTGTTGTTTTGTTTTAAGGAACTGAAGTTACCTGCAAAAAAAAATTTTGTTTCTGAATTGTTTCCATTAAACTTGTTTTTATGAGAGTCTAAGTCTACTTCTTGAGCTTCTAAATCACTTATGTCTTGTCTAGTAAAATCTTTTTCAGATTCAGAAGTAATTTTTTCATTGTCATTCTTCTCAAATGTTGATCTAGGCCTCCTTTTTATAGTGTTTCTATCTGAAATACTTTCATTGCAATTGGTTTTTTCAACAGAATATGTTATTTGTGGATCCAAATTATTTTTATCATATACATGTTGATCATAAGAAAAAGGTTTATTCACAATTGATCCCAATTGTTTTACTTCAAAATGTGTTGATATGGTCTTGTATTTACCTGGATAAATCAATATTGTTTTCTTTTCTTCTGTGAAGTCAATTCTATCTCTATTATATTTGTTTAACTGTTCCATCATTTCTGATTTTACTTTTTCTTGAAAATAGTTGTGGTAGTGGAACATTTTAAGATTGAATTTCACAGAATGGTTTTTAACTTTATTCCTATTTATTTTAGTTTCACCGGGTAATTTTTTATTTTTAACTTTCCTTGAATATGTCTGTAGATTAGTTAGATCTGATCTTGTTGCTGCGAAAGGCCTGTAACTTCTGATATGTAACTGTTTGCTTGGAAAAAATTGCCTTGTATAGATATAAATATAGTCTCTTTTTAATTTGGGATTTATCTTAGTATCCTGCATTAAATTATCTTTTATTTTGTTTTTTTGGTAGGAAAATTGTGGAATGCTTATTTTTTCAGTCAATATTTTCATTTGCTCTGGTAATTTGAATTCTTCAGAATCCAGCATGATTTCTACAAAACAAAAGTAATTAGTACAAAAATCATTCTTATATAAGGAAACAAAGAATAAACAATAAAAGAGCTATATCTATTTAAAAAAAGAAATTTCTGCAATCTAGATCAGTGATTCTTAAAATGTGGATCACGATTCTAAATGGGATTCTCTAGTTAAATCTAAAGGATGCGGCCAACACATATTTTTTATGACATCTGATTTCACTTATAAACCGACCTAAAGTTAGCCTTTATTTTTTATTTTAAGTTGGAGGTTTTCCTACATCAAAAAACTGGTTTTTCTCTTGTTATTCAATTCGAAAGTAGATTGTAGCAGAAAAATTTATCTAGCTAATCACTAATAGTCCAACCCTTGGATGTTTGACTCTATATCAGGGCTGTTTGGATCCTGAAAGGAGAAAAAACTGGTAGTAAAACCAGTGTACATCTATAATTTTTTTTTTGGGGGGGGGGGTAACAATTTGTGTATAATCTGAAAAAGTAAATAGTGTTAGTTAGCAATTAAAAATAGTGAAACCTTTCACTTAACTTTTTAAGAAATCTAAAAATGACTTTTTACAAATTTTTCCTAGATACAAACAGCCGTACTATATCCATAACAAATTAAATGGCATTTATGGCGATTAGTAAAATAAATTTGCAAAAAAAAGAGACTAGTAGAAAAATTAGTGGAAATTTTTTAACCAAAACAAGGAAAATTTGCAATAATCTAACAGATATTTGTTGTGTTGAAAAAATTTTAAAAAAGAAAACTTCTTTTTTTTTTTTTGGATGGGGAAAAAGAAGCAATTGGTAAAATGAATTCCATTTTTATAATTACCAGGGCTGATTGTGCTCTGGAAAAAATCCGGATTTCTGGATTTTTCGCTAACCGTGATCCGGAAGTTTCCGGAGATCGAAGGTTCAGATGTTTCAAAAAATCATTGAGTTTTCGGAAATCAAATTTTGAAGGTGGAACTTAAAAATACAGTTTATTTTATTTGTTTGTAAGGAGAGCTACTTTATAAGTTTATATTCAAGATTAATATTCATTTTTTATCAGTAAATAGTTATTATAATCATAAACTCAAGAAAGAAAGACATGTTTGTAAATTTAAATTACTTCTCCAGGTCATGATAGGTATGTGTAAAATTTTAAATACATTTTAAGTAAACTAAGAAATATTGAGAAAAAGGAAAAAACCTTGTTTATATTTTTTTCGATTTAAACTTTTTTTTTTTACTGAAGAAATTTTCAGGAATTTTGACTTGGGGCTCACAATTACCCCTGAATTACGAACTAAATGCAATAACTCGATAAACTAATTTCATAAATATAAAAGAAATTATTACAAAAATATTTAACTAATTTCAAAAAATTGATTGATTTTTTAATTGTTTGAAGAAAAATTGCCATTTAAATCTTATGCCATATTGGAACATTTTCTTGGCTGTTAAAATGATTAAACTTAACAGTATGCATATTTTATTTAATTTCTTTAATGATCTGTTGGTAATGCATATCATTATAGTATTTATAGTAAAATCTGTAGAAAAGTAGGTTGATGGGAGTGACAATAAAATGAGCTGACGCGTAGTAAAATTTTCATATATTATGACTGTTCCATGCTTATGTCATCTCTGTTTTCTAGTAAATTTAATACTGAATAAATCATATTTTAAATTATTTTCTTCCATAAGTTAACATTAAGAAGTCAATATATTGTAATATATTGACACTTCCACTAATCGCCCACTTAAGGAAACTGTTATATAATGAACTACGCACATAGCGCAACATGGCTCAAACTGAAATTTCCAAATACTAAGTTTTAAACTTTTTAGGTATTATTTTGTATATTCTCTAAAATGTTTAAATTATATTTAAAATTTCCAATTAGAAGAAGACAAACACCTTGACTATTTTCTCTCTTTACTTACCATCGTTATTTAGACTTAGAGCAAAATTAATCTGCAGAGTCAAGATGAAAGCCAACCAACTTTGTATGCATGCAGACATTTTCTAAAAAAATAAAATGAGCCAAATTATTGTTAACTGTAAATTATTGTATTATAAACATTCAAAAAAAAATTTTTTTTGCATAAAGAAGAATCTTTTAAAAGGTGAAGTATGAAAAGGGGCTTTTAATTTAAAAAATATATATATATGTCTGTGATCTAAACATAGATTTTGGAAAGAACCTAAGAAATTTTTAAAAAATAGTTTTTACTAAATAGAGTAATTTAATGTTAAATAGTTTGGCGTTTCATTACGTTAGTAAATTCTGTATTTCTTCAATGCATTTCATATTATGTATATTTAAAAAAGTAAAAAGCTGAGCTTGTCAGAAAGTTGGAGAGAGAAGTGGAAGGTTTATTTTAAAATTCATCATAATTGTAAAAGAATAAACTGAATTTTTTTATTTGTTTAATGTCGATTTAATTTGGTTTGAATAGAAATGTAAATTAATGAAAAATCTATAGAACAAATATGTGCAGCAAAAATAAAACTCCCATTCCTTTTAAGAATATATTATGATAAAAATTAAATTCTGAATAGAAGTAGAATAAATAAATGAGTTCACAGTTTATAAACCTGGTTGGTAGAACGTTGGTTTGAATGCAGCCAACCGAAGAGTACCCGTGTATTAAATAGTGACTAGTATACGCTAAATCTGTCGGGGGGGTCAAAAAAAGTTAGTTCCCATAACAGGGGTAATACCTCTGGGGTTACTGAATTGGAGATTGATTGTTCTCTGGTTTAGGTCAAAGTTACGATCTGTTTATAAATGAATGGAGTATGATTGGGTTCTCCCTGTAAAACGGGCTGAGACGTAAGTGTGTCTGAAGTCCTATTCTTGGCTATAGATGGCGATCTACCTTAAAAGTTCGCTTGATTTCCTAAGCAGGTTTGCTGATGAGATATGTTTTGAAAATTCGTGTGGCATAAATAACAAGAGTTTATAAATATTCATCAGCATTAATTTGTTTCTAAACTTATTAATATAACAAAATATCTGTTTCAGAGAAGTGTTGAAAACTTGGGATGATTTTTTATAAAAATGTTAAAAAAATATTTTTTACACTTCTGTATTTTATTGGAACACCTGGTATCTCATACATTTTATTTTCACATCGAGTTCGACTAAATTTTTCAATATAAAATTTCAAAAGTGCATACAGCTACCAAGTGCTTTCCTCAAGATCACATAAAATACTTCATGAAACAAAAGTTCAATATTTTCTTTAGTAGTTTAAACTTGAAGATTAAAAAAAAGGGGACATGTACTCGTAAATAAAAAATCTTCCAGTGATGATTGACCAAGCGGCAAACAATGATATTGGCAGCATGAATGGTATTCAACATCATTTAATATTAATATTTTGTTTTTGAACAGAGAGACCAATAATCCAAATGAATAGCTGTATAAGGGAAACTCAATACTTACAAGAAACAACTGTCAGTAATGTATGTGGACACTGTGTAATGCTAAAAATCAGTCAATACAGCATAGCATTCCCGGAATGTCAGGGACTATGGTAATGTAGCCCCAATCTGTTGTACTGCATACGATACTTCTTTCTTTATTTGTGCAAGAAAATAGTCAAGCAGCATTTTATCTCTTTAAGGCATGTCGTATTCAGTGTCAAGTCTGGGGAACATCTATGGTGGAAAGCTAGTACAGTGCACCTGTGAATCATAACCTTCATTAAGTTTGTCAATAATCAATTTTTAGAGCATATTTGTAAAGTCAAACAAATTTTTACATAAGATTTTCTCTAAAGTAGTTCTAAAGTAACAATTTGTATATTTATAACATAACTCTTTTAAACTTTTATTTTTTTAAATGTTTTATTAATAAATTTTTGAACAAATCTTTCTTAGGTATAGTTTTTAGATTATTTTCAAAAAGATGGGTTTTATTTTATTCTATAACCGTCGTTGAACAGCCGACTCAATTTAGGATGTACGACTACCAATGCTCAACTCCGTAGCCTTGTAATTTTGAACCCGATCCAGAAGACTAGGGAACTCCTGGATCATGTATTAGGAGAAATTTTCCTTTGTGGAGGACTTTTTGATAGAAGTAACCCTCATTTACGTTACACGGAGAGGAAAACCTTCCCCGGTTAGTCTGACGGCAAAGGAACCCTAACCCATGATCCGTCTACTATTGAGGATATTTTACGCCAGCGCTGTGATCGGTGCGAGCCGGGGACGGAATTCAAATCGACCAGCTATTGCTGGGATCGAATCTGGTCCATCTCATTGGGAGGCGAGCGCTCTATCCCTTGAGCCGTCACGGCTCTAATTAGATGGTTTTATTTTATTTTTTTTATAACCGTCGTTGAACAGCCAATCCAATTATATGGGTTTGTGACTACTAATGTTCAACGTCGTAGCCTTGTTATTTTAAACCCAATCCAGAAGACAAGGGAACTCCTGGATCAAATATTTGGAGAAATTTTCCTTCGTGGAGGTCTTTTTGCTGAAACTATTGATGAAACATTTGCGTTACATGGAGAGGAAGACCACGAGAACCTCCCACGGTTAGCCTGATGGCAATGGAACTCTGACCCATGATCCATCTACCACTGAGGATATTTCACGTCAGCACTGTGGTCGGTGCAAGCCGGATGCGGATTTTATTTTATTTTATAACCGTCGTTGAACAGCCGACCCAATACCGGATGCGGATTCGTATCGACAAGCCATCGCTGACGCCCTCTAAAAAATTGCGATAAAATTAATCTTCTGAAAGTTTCAGTTTAATAGTTAGACCCCGCCTTCGAATCTGAAATCTGAAGAAAAAAAATTCCTCCAAAACGGAACTTCTCCGCTAGAAACACTAATGTGGGCTTATTTTGGAAAAATTACTTTCTACTTTCATAATTAAAGTCAAATGAACAGATCGTTGGATAAAAATTGTTTTTCCTAACCCCACCCGAAAAAATTTGGTGTTTGTAAGAAAATAATTAAAGTAAGAATGCATCAAAAATAATTTTTTTAAACATAACAGGCATAAAATTTCGGACTGACAAAAGAACAACATATTTAGGAAGGAAAAAAATAGACTATTTCAAGTAATTCAATCATTGATACAAAACATATATCAAAGTAATTTTATTAAGTTTTAAAAAAAAGTACAGAATCAAAGAGGTTTTAATAGAGTTGTCATGTGACAATGCATGTCATGTGACAATAGGCTTGAAGACATTTCAAAATTTCTTTAAAAACAAAAAGCGACTAATTAAGAACTTTGATATTGCTACATTGTATATTTCTGCATCTAATTTTTTCAACCAAATTAAAGGTTTTTATTTTATTTTATAACCATCATTGAACAGCCGACCCAACTTTGGGGTTACGACTACTAATGTTCAACTTTGTAGCCTTATAATTTTGAACCAAATCCAGAAGACAAGGAAACTCCTGGATCAAGTATTGGGAGAAATTTGCCTTCGTGGAGCACTTTTTGATGGAACTTATCCGCATTTGTGTTAAATGAAGAGGAAAACCTCCCACGGTTAGCCTGACGGCAAGGGGACTTTAACTCATGATCCGTCTACCACGGAGGATATTTTAAGTCAGCACTGTGGTCGGCGCAAGCCGGATGCGGAATTCGTATCGACCAGTTTTCGCCGGGATTAGAACCCGGTTCACCTCATTGGAAGGCGAAAGCTCTATCTCTTGACCCATCACGTCTCAAATTATTGGTTTGGTCAGCAAACCCGCGAAGCGGGTTTGCGACTTTTCGCGATAAAATTTTTTAGAGAGTTGAAGACTTTTGCAGTTCACTTAGCATCATGAATGATAATTTGTTTGGTGTGACAAATTTTATATATGTCAAGCACAGTTACGTGAACTCTTTAGTCTCCAAGACGCTATATTAAGTGTTTTACAATTTCCTTGTAATAGTTTGCATAACAACATTAATTTTACTGATTTTTGTTGATTTCATGTGACGTTACCTTAAATCTTGGAAAATTTCAAGTGGAAAGCTTATACTTGATACTATTTTTAAATTTAAGGTTTATCTTAAAATTAAAATTCGATTGTGACAGGATAACGAATATTTTCAAGCAATTGCTCTAACAAAACGCCAGATCTTTTCCAACTCTCAGCACTGAAGTGATTTTAGTATATCTCCTGCTCCTATTTTCTACTTCTGAAACATCATTTTTGTACTTCAGAAAACACCAAGAAGTACGGTATTGATCAGCAAATTCTAGCAAACTGTGAAAGAGCTTTTATTATGCCCAAAGAAGCTATTTATATGCATAATATGTGCTGAGAATCAAACAATTTGGTATTTGAGAGTGATTAATTATAATTTACTCTCTTTGTAAATAGAATAGACGTTTTAAGTAACTGCCCTATTCTTCACAATTTTCAATTCTCCGTTACCATGGTTTCGATTTTTTCTTTCCGCAAGTATATTCTAACTTCTTAATAAAGCATACTACCATATGGAAGAAAAAGATTTGATGAAACCATGGTAATGAAGAGTGGGGTGGGGAATTCGTGTAACCTTGAGTTGCCTATTCTGTTTACTATGAGTGTAGTTTTAAATCATTTTATTAAATAAAATAAAATTACTTTCTCTTTATGATTTGATATTTTCTTTCATTTAAGTTAACATTTACGATTAAAGTTACTTTCTATCAAAATCTCATTCATATCATTTCAGATATCTATTTCTATAATATTGATTCTATACTAAAAAATTAAGAATATTAGTATAATTTCACATATTGTGATTATACACTACAAATTGACTATAAAATAAAAAGGATTCCTAAATTTAATATTTACAATCACAATCACGAACTTAAGTTAAAAAAAAAAAAGAAAAAAAAGAGCGATGTTTTTCTTTTTATGTCTGTAGGTGGTTCCCTTACTTTTAATTCACCCCTGAACATTTTATTACGATTTGAAAGAAAATTATTTCAGATAAGAATATTTTATTCTTATGTAGTCTCTTTCCAGAAGAGTAACGCTAAATCATTAAAGCGGTCTGCCAACGACCGTACTTCCGGTCGCTTTATCTTCAGTGCTAAGCCGAAAAGGATATTGCCAGTAATTTTTTACTCGAAATATGAGTAATGTCATTGCAATTACGGTTTTGTATTTGAACAAGAAATGTATATGACAGGGGTGGCGAACCTTTATACACCAACGTGCCATTTTTTCTAAAAAATTGTTTAATGAAATCACAGACGTGCCGTCAAATAATTTTGACTTCATGATTATTGGGAAAATAATAATACTTAATACTATCACACCAAAACTCTTTATTTACATTGAAAAGAAAATACATTTTGCAATGTCTCAGTTATACGCGTAATTCAACTTAAAGTAGCATCAGGGGGACTTATGTTATTGCAGATTAAATGACAAATAACTTATATTAGGTTGTAAAATATTAGTTTAAGCAGGACTGTTGATTTTTTTGCTAGTTATTTATTGTTAGCTTGTTTTTTATGGTTATTAATTGTTCTTTTAGCATTAATTGTTAATTTTTTTATTAATTATTGTTTATTATTTTGTTTGCTTTTTGTGAATTTTAATTTAATTGTTACATATGCTTCATAGTGTAA